CTGCCAGCCGATGGATTCGGGAACCTAAAACGGGGCTTGAATGCGGCAAGTCTGAAATAGCGATCCAGGAAAATCCGCCCTGCAGCTGCCTGGTTGTCGAGGCTCCTAAATGGGAACGATGCCACCTTCTTTCTTTACCTGGAAGTTTCCTACCTGCCGGGCCCGGGGCAGGGGTGCCGGTGCTCACCCTCGGCGTGGCTGGGATCCAGGGCTGGCACCGTGCTGGGCGTGGGAGGCGTCGGAGACGTGCGGAGAGTGCCGGGTCTGAGCCGCGGCAGCCACGCTCCCTGGAGGATGTAACAGCGGGATGGAGGAGGATAAACCTGGAAGAGTTTTCCAGGGAATAAGAAAATGGGATCTGTGGCTTGCCTTAGCTTGAGGGGTGGAAGCTGAATCTCCCACGAGTGACCAGACCTGCAGGGAGGGGTGAGGAGACCTCCTGGTGCTGGGCTGCGCTCCGGAGCCCCCAGAGCCCCAGATCGGCCCTTTTATCCGGTGGATAATTGCAGGAGCAGCGCTCAGGAGCCCCCCAGAGCTCCCTCCACTTCGTACCGGCCCTGAGCCTTGTAGGAGGGAGGCCGAGAATTTCGGTATCACGCGGTTACACAGTTCGGCTTCAGAAAGCACCGAGCGCTCCCCGGGCACCGTGCACAGAGCCGAGGAGTTGGCTCTGGGGTTTGTGTCCCAGCTGGGGGGACATCTCGTCCCTCCTAGGAACAAAGTCTTTGTGGCGCTCGGTTCGTGAAGCAGAAGCTGCCCAAGCGGGTTGCCTGGCTTATTCCCTGAATCCCAGCTCCTCTGGCTCCCCGCGTCCGTGGAGCACCCCAGATCCCATCCAGCCGCTCCATCACCAGCTGTTCAGTCTCCTCCTGTCTGCCCTCCCCCCCCCAGCTCTGCTTTTTTATTTATACCCTTTTTATTTTTTTCCCTTGTAAAGGTGGAGGAGGAAGCAACAGACAAGGATAACGAGAACTACAGTAAAGACAATATGTGCAGCAAGGTAATTGGGCTGAAAACAAACAGCATCTGTGCTCTCTGAGCCAGTCTGGCTGCTCTGCTGCGGATCTAGTGTCTCCTGCTTCGCTCCAGTTCCTGTTAGCGTAGGACAGTGTCCTTTGAGAGCGGCTTCTCCTTGGAGGGAACCCGCAAAGTAACAAACCCCACTGCTGCTTCTCCTGGGACAGAGGTGCCTTTGTGCTAAAGGCCTGGTCCCTGACGGTAGGAACGCTCGGTCCCGACTTGCCCGTCTCCTGGACTCTGCCGGTCTTTGGATGACCCGGAATATGACGCTGCTGAGATTCGAGCCACAGCTCCCTTCGCCTCCCCGAGGAGAGGGAAGGGACACGGTTGTACAGGGACGAACGCTTTGGCTCTGCGCTCCTTTTAAAGGACCAAAGACTCCATCCTGGAAGCCACAGTCTAGTGGCGTGCGGTTTTTCTCTTCTGTTTTTCTGCAGTGGTGGAGCAAAGACCTTTAGGGATTGACAAATGCCGTTGGCAGCACTGCTTTAACAGCCGGGAGCAAAACCTCTCGTGTTGTAGCACCTCGTAAATGCACCTCTCTCCTGCTGCTGCTCTCTGCCCGGCCGTTCTCGCATTCAGCCCGGGCGGGATTTAAACCTAAACACTTTAAATTGCTTCAAGATGTACCAGGAATCATCCGTGAGTCTTGCCTGCCTGTCTCTAGGATATCCCCTCGCAAGCTTTTATCCCAGCACTTTTGCCGTAGCGTAGGCACGGACGAGGCTTGCAGAGAGTCTACAGCCGCCTCTGTGCAAGCTTGAAGGCTCGTAGCATCCTCCGCGGGGATGCAGACGTGCCGTTCTGCCACCCTGGACCCGGTGCTTTGCCGTACTCCCGCTGCAGATTTTACTTCTTTGCTCAGGCATCGGAAATAGCTGCAGGTTATTTAACTCGGGAGAGAGAAAGCGCGGTTGTGTGTAGTGAGGCCGAAAGTTGTTAACCCCAGCGGTACCGGTAGGTGCATCTCTCGGGTAGGAATTGTGTTGTGTTGGCTAGAAAGCGTTGGACATCAAAGAGGGCAAGAGCCCCCGTCTGACTTGAACAGAAAGCTGTAGCAGACGGTGTGGGATGTGTCACCCGTTCAGGAAAGAGCCGTGAAACGCGGGGGTGTGGGAGCCTCCCGCCCTGTGTAATACTTCCTCTGCCAAACAGATCCTGCGCGATAACGCTCCCCGCGATCGCGCTGGGGTAAACCCTCGAGTCCCAAACGCCGAGCGCCTGCTGCATCGGGCGTGTTTGAGGAAGAACAGGCAAAGGTTTTGTGTGCAGAGTCACGCGTGCCTGCCCGTATCGCCCCTTCAAACGTAGCGATGGGCGTTTGATGTCTGCTCGGCAAAGCCCGGAGACACCCGCAGGGATTCGCTCGCGGGTTTTTTTTCGCAGAACCAGCCGCAGCCGTGCTGGGGCTCTGCTCCCTGTCCCTCGCTCGGGGCCGGGCCCCGGGGAGGGACCGCAGGATTGTCTGGCTCTGGAAATAAAACGGCCTGGTTCGGCAGCGGGCTGGAGCTGCGGGGGGAGCTGGGGGCAGC